CCTGTCTCTCTTGGCCGCAAAGCTGGTGGGATGGGAGAGAAGCCCAGTGTTCCCGACCCCTGTCCCGTGCTACTTGGGCCCCTGGGTTTGTTGTGTTTGAGCTAGGTGTGGGTCTGAGATTCTGCAGCACAGGCCCAGCCTCGGAGGCACTCAGAGGGCAATTCCTGCAGCAGCACGACGTATCTGAAAACCTGTAGGCTTGTACCAAATGGGATGACTGCCAACCACACGCTCAGTGCAGTGACTAGGCTAGCACAGTCAGTATGTTACGCTACCCCCCCACTCTTGATTTGACAGTGCAGTACTGGGTGAGGGAGCTCTGGAAGGTGGTATTGGGGGAGGAGATAGTCGAGGCTTTTGGTGGTTTGGGATTGTGGAAGAAGGAGCATGTTGATGGGTCAGTTAACTCTGAACCCTAAAGACGACACTGGTGAGTGCCCATTGAACTGAGCAGCACAATTTACTCCAGCACTACTGCCCACTCAGACAAACACCCCTGCATCGATTCCCCTTGGCTCCTTGGAAAGGTTTTTCTCACAGCTGTGAGGTCTGGACACAAACTGGGCCAGTATTTTGGGTGTAACCCCAGGCCTTATGGGAGAGGCACCTGTTTCCTCCATACATTTGTGAGGCTTTTGAGGAAGGGGGGTTAGGGCTCCTTTCCCTGTGGCCAGGCTGGGTTCTTACTGGTGTCTTCTGTTCAATGCAGTGGGGCAGAGGATCATCATGGCTACATCTGGGACCGGCACTACAACATCTGCCTGGCCAAGCTGCAGCACGACGACGTGGTCAACTCTGTGGCATTCAGCCCCATTGAGCAGGAACTGCTCCTGACAGCCAGTGATGACACCACCATCAAAGTGTGGCGCTCCCCCCGCACAGTGCGCATCCACCACGCCAGGAGACCTAAGCCCCGGAAGCTGCTCTTCTCCTGGCTCATGAACCAGAACTGAACCATGGCACCTGCTCGTGCTGCTGCCTCACTCCAGCCACACCCTTCATTGTGCTTTGGACCGTGGGAGCGTGGATGTAGAGGAGCTGTGGGCGCAAGGCCCTGGAAGATCCTACCCCAAGAGAGAACCTTGCACTCCCACCCATGGCTCGCATCTGACAAACTGCCCCCACCGTCACTGCAGCCTGTGAGCTGGGTCTGATCTGGGCCTTAGCGGGTCACTGCAGGGCGAACTCCCCCTCCACATCTCACAAGTGCTGCTAGTCGGTCATGCTACTTGCAGCCAAGCTTTGGTCACTGATCAGCACAGACTGGCAGCTTATTTTTCTTCGTGAGCTGGGGACCTAGCCTCACCGAGCTGCTGGCTGCAAAGCAGTTGGCCAAAGGGAAATGTCGCAGCACTGCTCTTGTCATGACACGGCTGTTTTAGTAGCTGTTTTATTGCTGTCTGTCTGTCCCATGCAGGAGGCGCTGACAGTGTTACTGGTCACCCTCCTCCCGTCTTCCGCAGCCAGGTCCTGAATGCAAACTGAGGAGCGAGCAGACTTGCCAAAGAGGCTCTCGCTCAAAAAGTGCAAAGCATTACGGCGCTGGTGCTGGCGTGGCAGCTCTAACATTCTGCTGATGGCAGCTAGCAACTTTCCGCCCCATGTCTCCACCTCGGGCCTACAGAGCCCTTTGGACTGCAGCCAGCTCAAGGCAAGCCTTTGTTGCTGCTTTCCATTAGCTGTGAGCCTGTACACCTCACCACTGGCTTCCACACACGGGTACGGGGAGAGCTGCTGAGTCACATAGGACAGGCCTTGGTGAGCTGCTAAATAACATTAAGATGCTACAGTTGCGTTCCTAATGTGTTGTTTTCCAGGCAATCCACTGCAGTGGTGACCACAAAGCTGAGGTTCCCCCTTCAATGGGGGCAACTTAGGGGCTAGAGTTGGCCATGAGAATCTGAGTCCAACTGTCTTAGCATGAGCCACAAACTCTTGGAGGACATAGCAGGCGGCTCTGCCATCCCAGCTGATGCCTGATGAGAACTGTCCAAGTGCTCTTTCACTGGGGGTGACTTCTCCCTGCGCTGGTACTGGCCTCCCCCAGCGCCTTTAAGTTCTCATCTAACAAAACGAGTCAGTCTTTTCTGTGCTCTGTCACTCAAGGCCCCTGCAGCTGGATGTGGAAGCCTACAGCGGGAGATGAGAGGAAAATGTCTCACTTCCAGGAGCTGGCCCTGGGTCAAAGCTGATCCTTCTTTAAGAACTAGTTTTGGTCTTTGAAAACGTTGGCCTGAGGAATTGAACTTGGCGGCTGAACTAGGATCCTAAATCTACAGGCCTGGATTTTGGAGGTGCAGGTGCTCAGCAGCTTTGAAAAGAGCAGGCTGGATTTGGAAGCAGTGGCTCTAGTCTGTCAAACAGGCGGCGGGGGAGGAAGAGGGGTGTATACGTGTCAGTTGTCAGTACACTCTGCTCAGGCAGACGCACAAGTCAAACTAAATGGTGCTTCTGCTGCTTTCTGTCAGTCCTCTGGGCTGCAGCCTTCTGTGCTGTGTGGACTCACAGGGTTTTAATTCCTCTTATGGGGGCTGGCAAGATTAATAGTGTTGCTACCCTCCCCCAGCAGCAGGCTCCAGGGCCTCTAGCCCCCAGAGTTCACATAACGGGTCTGTCTGTCACTAGCAGCAAAACTTCCCCAGAGAGCAGGGAGGTTTTGTTTGCAAATGGGTCAGAAGACATGGATGCTTCTTGTGGAGCTGTTTGACCATTAAAGAAACTAAATTCACTCACCCTGAGTGGGGATTTTTAAATAGCTGTGAGCTCGTGTGAACCCTTTTCCTGCTCCCTGGCTTCGGACTGCCTGGGCCCGGCCAGGACCTGAGCACAGTAAGGAGCTTTGTGTTGTTCAAACATCCTGCTCCTCACTACAGCACTGAAGAAAGGGCCTGCTCTGCTGTGGCTGCAGTGTGGCTTTCTGCTACCTGGGATTTGAGCTACTATCAGCAAATGGCCTCATCTCTCACTGAGGTACAAGCCCCCAACAACCCCCCTCTAGTACAGAGGCAATGCACTTGGTGGGGCTGTCCTTAAGATCCAGAAGGGACTTGGGTGTTGCGCTGCTGAGTGGGGCAGTGCCTGGAAAAAGCAGAGACCCTCCTCACCCCCCACTGTGAGGGGCCTAGGCTCCATCTGCTCATTTAGCATAGAGACAGGCACATCTTAGGCTGTGCCTACTGTGCTGGCTTTTGGGGGTCAGAGAGCTGAACCTGGGTCTCCCAGCTGTCCCCTAACCAGGGACTGAACAGTTAAAGTGGGCAGTGGTAGCTGCTGCTGTTCCTGCAGTCAGGTTTTCAATGGGCCCTACTCACATAGACAAGCCCCTCAGCATGCCCTTTGCCCTGGGCTGGGGATTGCTGTGAGGCTCAGGCAGCACCTAGGCATTTGGCTGCAGAGAGGAAGCCAACAGGGCCCAGGCCCCAAGCTAGCAACTTTAGGCATGCAGTGATTTTAAGCCTCTACAGCTTTTTGTGGGAGTTTCATAGATTGCAGTGGAGCCCAAAGGGGGATGTAGGTACCATTTGTGGAGCTTGGTGTTAGGCTGGGGGGTGATGTGTTACCAGCAGGGAGGGCTGGAGAAAAGAGCATGGGGGTGGGAGCTGAAAGTAGCATGCTGAGAGTCAGAGCTGTGTTCTTGCCCCAGCCCCATGGTGGTGGTTGCTGCCTGTTTTCCCTTCTCTGAAATGGGGGCAATACAGGTACTTCACAGAGGCCAGGAGTGTCGTCTGGGGCAGGCCGACCAGCCATGACCCAGCGGCGGGGGTGGCAGGCTTTCTTTTGAACAAAGGTTTATAGACTGGTGGGTCTATAGTCAGGTGAGCCCCTTTCTTCCCAGTCCCATATGCACTTGTTGCATCTTATTTCAAAGTAAGTAAACTCAGCAGGGTAGGGCCTGTATCTGAACAGCTCCCAGCACCTCCGGGACCCAGCATATGCAACCACAGTAAGGGGGTGGGGAAAAGGATTATTTGTCCTGTTCTTTAGCAAAGTAACTGGAATAAGGGCCGAGCCCCACTCCCACAGGAGGCTGTGGCACACGAGGGGTCCCACTTTCAAAGCCTCCAACCCATCAGTTTCACAGAAACGGTTTCTAGTTCCCATTCTTGAGGGTGCTACATGTTGTCCCATTACTGTCCAGCCTTCCCTTGGGATACAATACTTTATTAATGGTCTCACTCATACAACAGCACAGAGGACACTTCATTTCACAGTTCGAGCCTATGCCGTTTGCTCCTCTGAGGTGTGTTTGGACACATCCATGAAAGGTGAGAGCCTAGTGCTTCTAGGGAAGGTGTCGCAAAGCTGCTAAGGGAGGAAATATTGTTATGGCTAAGCTAGCACACAGCAATCACCAACCAGGTCAGGCCCCTGAAAGACTCATCAGCTACATCAAACTAAAGGCATTTCCACAAGTGCCGAACAACCCACACCCTGAGTTCCACACAAACATGGTCATGCCTCAGAGGAGAGACACTGCAGAAGTAAAACCCCATCTCCGGTTTAGCTACCTTTTGGGGGCAAGGAAATGCTATGAATCATAGAATATCAGGGTTGGAAGGGACCTCAAGAGGTCATCTAGTCCAACCCCCTGCTCAAAACAGGACCAATTCCCAACTAAATCATCCCAGCCAGGGCTTTGTCAAGCCGGGCCTTAAAAACCTCCAAGGAAGGAGACTCCACCACCTCCCTAGGTAACGCATTCCAGTGCTTCACCAACCTCCTAGTGAAATAGTGTTTCCTAATATCCAACCTGGACCTCCCGCACTGCAACTTGAGACCATTGCTCCTTGTTCTGTCATCTGCCACCACTGAGAACAGCCGAGCTCCATCCTCTTTGGAACCCCCCCTTCAGGTAGTTGAAAGCAGCTATCAAATCCCCCCTCATTCTTCTCTTCTGGAGACTAAACAATCCCAGTTCCCTCAGCCTCTCCTCATAAGTCATGTGCTCCAGACCCCTAATCATTTTTGTTGCCCTCCGCTGGACTCTTTCCAATTTTTCCACATCCTTCTTGTAGTGTGGGGCCCAAAACTGGACACAGTATTCCAGATGAGGCCTCACCAATGTCAAATAATGATAATGAACCTGGAGCCTCAGCTGGATACGTATGTATAAAAAAAATGGAAGTGTTGGGCAACCTGACTGCCAGGCCCCATTTCTGCTCGCCCTTCACATTGCTGCTGTCCACTGGAAAGTCGTGTGAGCTGCAAAGAGCTGTGTTCGCATCCCCGGTCAGAGCACCCGCTCTGGCTAGTAGGGCTAGTGCAGTTCAACTTATACAGCCCCTCTCACCAAACTTGTTCCTTCATCATAAGGCCACCTCCTCACCCTCGGCCATACACTGGCTGCCTGCACGTGGCCTGTTTGCAGAGCCGTAGGCTCCCACTGCAGGAGCTCAGCACCTGAGCCCCTCACGCAGGAGCCTGACCTACTACACTTCTGTTTGATTAGCCATAGACATGATTTGTTTGCTTTTGAATTTTGCTCCTGAGCAACCCTACCACAACCAACCCTCCGCACTGATTCCTCTCCCCTGTGACTGGTGTACTGGCCTAAGGCTTCTTTCCCTCACAGCCTTGTGGGTAAAGAGGCTTGAATTTTACAAGAATCCTCCCCTGCATGGCTTAGCAAAAGACTCCTGTAAATCCCAATATGGTGCTGGCCAGGCAGAGTTGCTAGTGTCCGTCAAGGCAGTGGTGTGAAACAGACAGCTGGAGCTGTAATACAACTATCCCATTACCGACTGGACTCGGGGAGGTTGTATGAGACTAGGATCGCAGGTATTCACAGCTGGCTCAGTGACATACACACAGAGCACGTTTTAAGCTGGCAGTTCAGTGCATCCATGCACAAAACTACCACGGCAGTAGCTGCAGCACAAGCCTTCGCTCCGTTCCACCTGCCTCGTCCATGCATACTTTACATCCACTGAACAGCAGCACCGGGGAAGGAACAGCCACGCCTCCAGACTTTCCAGCCCCCACCTTTTCACAAAGTGGGTGCTGTATGGCACAGGTGGCATTTAGCCTCTCACACTGGGAATCTGTGGACACAGACCCTGCTGCAGCTGAATGCATCATAGCCACCAGCAGGGGGCAGCCAATCAATTTCACTGAAGGTAATTGAAGGGAGGGAGTAAGCTGCAGGGAAATAATTGTGTGGGGGGGGGGGGGGGGGGGGGGAAGGTCCGGCATGGAAAAGCCTTCAACCTTAGCACAGCTGGTAAGTGATGCGGGGGACTAACAGCCCTGGGGAGAGCAACATGAAAAGCAGCAAGTCTTTCAAGTGACTTCCTCAGAACCTAAGGCCCCTTCTCTCCCCATCCACTCAGCTGGAACAGGCTTGCTCATGCAGAGAGGACTCTCTCCCATGAGATGGCTATAACAGGTGGTTCCTTCTGTGCCAGAGCTGGGCTCCTCTGGTCAATATTACAGCCTGGATAGAACTGGGGGGCCCTTCTCCAGCATGAGAACACTGGGGCTCTAGCAGGAAGCCAGTGCAGGCTTTTTGGATGTCGGGTGAATTTATACTACAAGGGAAGGTGCAGCAGTGCCAACGCGAGCATCCCCCAAGACCTTGTGTGTCACACCGGGATCAACGGGGCCTCCACTAACAGCATCCACAGCAGGGCGGAATCGCTTGCTGGAGCCACCACACTGCACAAAATGTGGTCTACCAAGACCCAGCAGCCGCCAGAGGCCATCTTGCTGCACAACAGACCGCTATTGCCACAGCGCAAAACAGCGGGGGAATCTGGATGCTGCTCCTCGTTGGAGCCCTCTTCCCTCCCTGTTTAGGACAGCAGCTCCTGCGGGCAGGGGCCCAGCCCGTGTCTGTGAAGTCCCCAGCATGCTGGTGAGCCCTCGATGCGTGGCATGATGTGTAACAGGGCTGCTCCTGCAGCCCGTCCCAGCCATCCTGGGTAGGCTTCGAACCTTGGCTAAAAACTCATCCCAACACCTCTCCACAGGGAAGGAGAGCCAGCCAGCTCCAGCACAGCACCTTGCTCTCCTGCCACAAGCACTATAGGGAGCTGGCTTTGGGTTCCACCCCAGCCACCAGACTGAATTTTGGACAGAACCCACAGCAGATGCCAATGTACAGTAGGTGCCAGAGATGCCTTTCAAACCTCTGAGGGTCCCTGCTAGGGCTTTAGACCTTTGATAGCTTTTGGGGCCCAGGTCCCCTTACTGCCTGACTGCTCAACCCCCCAAAGGCAGCTGCTGTGGAGGGACAAGCCTAGCAGTGACAGTGACGTTTCTCAAAGAGCCAGCCCCGGTCACTGAAGACAAAGCTAGTACTTCCCAAACCAGGGGAGAGCTCACCTCCCCCTGCCTTCTGCTGCAGCAGTTTAACTCCGCCACGCCTTGTCGGTGGATCCTCCCAGGGCTCGAGCACGGTAGTACCAAGAGTCAGGCTGGCCCCGGCGCACAGCCAATCAGCTGCTCAGCCTACAGGAACGTGTAGTCTCTCGTTTCTCAGACAACGTAGGGAAACCTCTCTTAGCAAGCGCCCAAAGGCTCAGGAGAGTCACTGCCACGGGGAGCTGGAGAGTGCACATAACAGAAAACAGGCTCCTGGCGTCACGGGGAACAGGCTGTTCCTGAGGGATTGGGCCCCATCTGGACCCAGCGTTCTGAAACGGAACAGCCCCCAGGCCTGTTGCCACTGGGCATGCAGCAGCGCTGCCTCGGGGCAGGGAACGGTGGGTGGCGTCTGTGCAGGGCTTGGAGAGCAGAGACACTCAGACAGCTTGCTGTGGAGTACTGTCCAGACCCTACACAGACCCCCACCTGCTCCAGTGACCCTCCAGGATCTAGATGTCGGTCTTTAAACTGAGCTGATTTAATTCCCTTTGGCTCCCATGGGGCGGCTGTTTTACATCTGTTTATTGGCCCCTCTTTGGATGGGGAGTTCTGCACACAGATAGAGAACCAGCCACCGCTCCTGGCCCAGAAACGAGATACACGTAAATAACGGCTCAGCTGGGGAGCAGTGCAGTACTGGAGACCCCCGCTGGCTTACTTTGCTGTGGGTACGAGCCCATACGCACCCCTTTAGTCCTGGCAGAAGCTTCCGGTCACCCTAGCCTGGAATCAAAACTCATCTCCACTGACAGATTTCTGACCCCAGCTGAGGTGTGCGGAAGGGCTGGGCGGAGTAGGGGGCCAAGTGGACTGAAGCAGGCCACTGCCTAGGCTCCAGTGGGGGGACAGCCTGTCACTGGTCCTAGCTAGGACAGTGTGAAGGCAGAAGTGCCTCAGCTCTTCAGACGCCCCTGGGCCTGAGCCCAGGTGGGGAACATACAATCTCTCTCTTTAGAGGACACAACAGAGGGGCTATGGCCTTCCTCCACGGAGAGGGCCACAATTTCACAATCCTGGATTCCCTTGCGTTTGCTAACTGGTGATCGTTCCACAGAGAATTCCTTCCCCTGCACACAAGCAGTGGATCACTGATGCTAACTGGAAGTGGGGCTGTTGGCTCGAGCCAACCACCGGGAGCACCTCTGGCGTGGGCAGCAGGGCCAGCCTCTTTGCCTGTCCTCCAGGTCAGAAGAGCAGGGGAGGAGTTGGACAGGGCTGGGACAACCCCTGAAGGATGGTTCAAAAAGCAGCTAGCTGGGTGCTTTGGCCAAAGAGAACCTGAAGGTTTGTACTGATGTACTGAACAGGACCCCTGGGGAGAGGAGACAGAAAACCACAAAGAATAAGGCTCCAAAGTGGCTAATGGCCACTCCAGAGTTACAGGTGCCCACCACAGAGTAACTCTGAGGGGCCAGTTAGCCACAATGGCAACACACTGAGGGACCCATTCTCCACGAAATAGAAAGACAAAGGGGCAGCAAACGGGGGCCAGAGTGCAAGGAGCCCCGGGAGGGAAGAGTACACAGGGAAAGCCCTCAGACAGTTTCTAACCACGCAGCTGCAGACTGGCTGGCTGGCGAGAGCACACTAAGCTGGCCACGCAGCAATCGGGGCCACACTTCTGGTGAGGCTGTTAGACCCCCAGCCTTGTAAACAACTAAACCCCCTTGACAGAGCGAAGAGCCCAAGATTAGCTGCCACCTGCGGGAGGACACTCGGTGGGGGACCAACAACTCCAGGCGAGGGAACACCAGAAGGGGCCTGCCTGCAAAGGCAAATGAAGAGATGTGCTAAAAGCCAGGATGAGAGTGGTGAGGAAAGGTGCTAATGAGCTTCCCCCCTTGGCTAAACCCTCATTCCTGGGGTGCTAACCAGCTCACACATGGGGGAGCAAGGCTGGCCTGCCCTAAGCCCAGCTCCAGGAGTTAACCATTAACAGGCAACAAATTAGATTCCAAGGCACCTCTCAGTCTAGGTCAGGACCCGCTCCAGAGAGTTACAATACTCATCTGTTTGGTCATTAAAAACACAAGCTATGCCAAAGGCACCTGGAGCAGTAGGTTCTATAGGAGACCCACACTGACAGAAAGGAGGAAAATATTCCTCAGGTGCTGTCCTCCCTTACTCTCCACTTCCCCTCCCATCAGATCACTTACAGATAAAACGCAGGCAGGGGTTTGGGTCTTCTTTGACATGGACACTGGGAACAGCTCCCTCTTGCCCTACGGACATACGGCCCCACTCAAAGTGCCTCTGCAGCTATGGCTGCCAAAGAGAGGCCAGTGAGACTGTGCTAAACTGCTTCCCTCTCACTGAGAGCTAACAACTATCTCTTCCGTGCAAAGCCCACACACCTCCTCTGCCTGCTCCTAGTCCACGTCTTCCCTCATGTCAAAGATCAAACCAACCAGCAATACAGAATTACAGAACCTTTAAGCAAAAACACCAGAGAGAAACCAGCTCCCTCTAACACTGAGATCTCCTAAGAGAACGAAAGAGCCTGGCCAAAGGGCTATGTGCAGTGGTGCTCTGGGCAGGCTGAATGCCTGTTCCATTGTAGGAGCTGTACGTTAAACAAGTACAAAAGAGCTGCCTTCGTTTTAGCTTGAAACCTGGGTGCAGGGAGCCCTGGTAGCTGATTCCTGCAGGGGATCATCCAGTCCCCATTGATCATGGATCAAACTCAACTAACCTCAACACAAGCCTCTTCTCAAGGAAGATCTGCACTAGAGAAGCTGGTGTTTTGACACCAAGGGAGGGTTCCCATCAGACACTGCATTTCCACTCAGAGCGGAGCAGGTCCCTTCAAGAACGGGGCCAGGTCTGGACTTTGCCCCTGCTCTGGGGCATGCTGAGGGTGCAGCACCGGGAGGGCGAGCCCTGGTCGGCTGGCACTGTGCTCAATGCTCCTGGTGGGGAGGAGGCTTTAGAGGCCCGTGAGATCTACGATGGCTTTAATAAAGATGGCGTCGTCACGCACGTAAGAGTTCTTGGCCTCCATCTTGGAGACTGGGCAGAAGAGTGGGCAGCCACTGGCAATGTTCATCTCGGTGACGGGTCGCTGAAAGGACGTTGACGTCACATCGGGTCGGAAAGCGTCGATAATGTGCTCCCGGTTATTCTGATCCAGCAGCATCAGGGTCACCTAGAGGTGAATACACAAGAGAAAGAGCATGAAGAAATATGGCAAACATGCAACCCCCCGTCTGTGACTCCCATTCATTTTTACCTTTCGAAAGCTGCAGACACACACGCAACCTTATGCACTCGTGTGGCAGCAAGCTGGGGTAATGCCAACCCCAGCTAGATCTACACCCTGCAAGAAGGCTCCCTGCTTTCTCCCAATCTCTGCTGTGCCACAAGGGAAATTCTGCACTTGGGTCAGATCGACTGACAACTAGAGACTTTGCTAAATTCAATGGGAAAATGAAGTGCGTGCAGCAGCCCGGGTAGCCAGCAGCTGCAGATTTTGATATTCAGTTTGATCCTGCCCCATTGCATGCATGTCCCTTGAGATAAGGGAGCAGATCACACTGCTCCAATGGGTAGTTTCAGGCTGTCTGCAGAGTCAGGCAGATGTCACTGTATCAGTTTATACCTGGTTCTTATTTTTAAGGTTTTCTTCACAACTGCAAAGGTTTAGAAATTTAATTTAGAAAATAAAGATGACAACTCAGAGTCATGGAGCACAATTCCGGATCCCTGAATATCAGAGCACACGCAGCATGGTTAGTATGAAAGTTCTGGTCATTCTCCAAACACATCATCACCCCACTCCTGACTGTATCTTTTCTCTCTCCCCTGGGCCTCTCTCGTAGTATCCTGGGCTTTCATCAGGACAGGAGCCTGCATGGAAGAGCTCCCCCAAATGGCTAGTGCAGCGGTTCTCAAACTGTGGGTCGGGACCCCATTTTAATGGGGTCACCAGGGCTGGCTTAGACTTGCTGGGGCCTGGGGTGGAAACTGAAGCCTGAGCCCCACCACCTGGGGTCAAAGCCGAAGCCCGAGTGCTTCAGCCCTGGACAGCGGGGCTCAGGTTACAGGCCCCCTGCCTGGAGCTGAAGCCCTTGGGCTTCAGCTTCCACCCCACCATGACCCCTTGTCAGAAGGGGTCGTGGTGCAATGAAGTTTGAGAACCCCTGGGCTAGTGCATTCTCTGCCTCTGCTTCCTGGACGTGCCAGCTCCCTGGCTAGGAGAGCAGGTATCTGAGCGGCCCGAGGGGGAATAAAGCCAAGGGAGGCCTTTCAGGCACCAGGACTGGCTCTGTGCTCACTCCCAGCACCTACCTTCTGGTTGAAGGGCCATCGCAGAAGCGCATCGTTGGGTCCTTTCATCACCACAAAAAACAGAGACAAGTGGGTCCCACGTCCAGTGCCGTCCCCATTTAGGTACACACGCAGGCACATCCTATAGCCATATTTGCTTGTGTAGAAGGCTAAGTGATACAAAACATCAAGAATAAACAGCTGTGCAGAACAAGGGCTAGGGCAGCAGGGGAGCCCAGATGATTCCCAAACAGTTTCAACTGTCTATAGACTTTGGCTTTTGAAGCATAAGTAGGGGAGGGCTCCCTGAGCTGGGGTCCCACAGGAGCAGCTCCGTTGGGTGAAGATAAAGGGGGCTAATAAACGATGGCACATGTATTTAAAAGCACACAAGACACTGGGACCCCAGTACATGAGGACTAGGCCCAGTTAACATGCGCCTACTGTTACAGGACAAGAACAAGGAGACTGCTGACCTTTAAAGGACTTCCCTCCATGCTTCTCCTGCCCTGCAGAGACAACCCCACGCTGCCAGACGGAGTTGGAGACTATACCAGCTTAGGAAACAATCCCACTGCTGCCTAAGTTCCAGTGACAGGGCCAGCCACATCCCATTAAAGGGCACAGTGTCACTGAGGGCCTAGACTGGCCTACTCCCCTTTGTGACTAGCAATGAGTGTACAAGCAGGAAAGAGCCCAAACTGCAGCTGAGATCTCAGGCTGGCGGACACAACACCCGCTCAGGCACCTTTGTACTTGTAAACTTACTACACTTGCCCTGGAGCCCAGGTACTGAGCCCCACCGTGCCAGGAACACTCAAGTTACTTTAAAACAGGGCAGAGGTGTAGTTTTACATTCAGCCACCGCTTTCATTCCCTCTTTCTTGAAGCTATGCATCTCCTTTTCCACAAGGCCGGAGAGAACACACTGTGCGTAGCTGCGGCTATGTTACACAGTGTGCTTTTTTGGAGGAGGCACGCAGGGAACAGCCCATTCATAACAATGCACCAGTGTGGATATACAACGTGCTAACACGGGTAGAATGTGAGGGGAATGGGTAGCTTGTGTGCACGTGGAGGGTAACGCGATCAGGCCCTTCCATAAGGGGCTGCGTGCACTGTTAGGACAGGATGCACAGAGGCACCGAGCTGGGACTTAGGAGAGCTGGCTGCTACTCTTGGCTCTGGCACTGACAAGTCACTTCATCTCTATTCCCCACTGCACCGTCTGTCGGTGCAGACTGTCCACTCCTGGGGCAGAGCCTGCCACTTCCACTATGGAGCTGTGCAGTACTCGGCACAATGGGGGCCTCCAAAGGTTACATAATTCAAAAACACACTGAGGGAAGAAGGGGAGGGACAGCTAAGCAAAGTATGAGGCAAGCTCAGGTGAAGACAGACCAGCCAGCAAAGTACCAGAGACATGTATGCTAGAAGTCTGCACCAAGTGTCCATTTAGCTCAGTAAGAAAAACTACGCTCCTACAAGGCAATTTTTAACCAATCCTAACCTCTGTTTCTCTGCCTCATTTCTGCATAGCTAACGCAGCATCAGGATTGCAGCTTCCTGCCTGGTGCTGGGTCTAAGTAACACGCAGGAAACTCAGGTGCTGGCAGATAAGTGTTTCCTTCCCTTTAAACAGTCTCTTCTCAAGTGTTTTTCCATGAAAAGACCTCTCTCTCTTTCTCTCTTTCATTTCCAGTCCCTTTCAAAGCAAGCACAACACACTGCTTTTCTGAGGGGCTTGGGGCTTGAACAAAAACAACAACCCTGTTTGTAACAGGATCCACAAATGTCTATGCGCCCTTTCTTGCAGCAATTTAAAAACCACACTGTTCCTACAGCTGTGAGATCAGTGATCCTGGCTCATTAATAACCATGTGACACAAGTTGTAAGAATTAATATCTTATATAGCATCTCACTCCAAAGTGTTTTCGCCATACAGCACTACTAAAATGCAGCCACTTCTGGGGAAGAGGCTAGGCATCAGCCAGCATATAGCATGTTACACAAGAAGGGAAGTGGGGGTGAGAGAGAGGAGACATTTAGGCCAAGGAAACTGGGTCAAACCCCTCCAGGGCTGTATGAGTTTAGTGCCCAGAGAGCAGACAGGCTGTAAGATTTTAAGGTGCACACAAAATGGTGTGGAACTCAGTGTGTCTGCTTCAGAAATCCGAAGGGCAGAGTTGACCCTGCTAGACCGTGAAGCTCTACTCTCAGGGAATCTAGGGGGTTTCAAGGCTGACCACTGTTTTTAAGAGGAAGTTCCAGTGACAGGGCCAGAGTTAGTAGAGCAAACACAGTTATGGGAAAGCTTCAGTTCCACTGAAAAACTGGAAGAGAAAAGGGATTTTCCAAGGGGCAAAAACAAGAATAAAAAAGACACCATACAATATACAAATAACAACAACTGGCGTTTTAAAACAGTTCTTTAGATTGTCCGTTTAAACTAGTCTGTCTCTGGCTTGTGTGCAGTTCCAAGGACCGGCTGCTTTAAAAAGGAATCGTCCTGCTGGCTTAAGAGCCAGAGCTGTTCCTGTTGGCACAGACCCAGATTCCATATCCCTCAACTCTGGCACTAGCAGACTCCATGGCTCACTTAGCACTGACGTCCTCCAAAGAGATGGTGTCTAAGTGCTGGGATGCTGCTGCTTTAGCAAGTTCCCAGCTCAGACAAGAATACGGGGAGTGATCTGGAGACTCTAGAAGCTCTGCAATGCTGCATGGCTGGGGTGAGCATGCTGACTTTATCTGAAGAGCAGGCAGCTGCACAAGCCTTGCTGGAGATATGCATGTTTCTCAGTCCCTGTGGACACACTGTATATTGTCATGTTATGCTCTAGGTACCTCGATTCCTTTCCTTGCTTACCATCTCCCCGATGGCCCTAATTTGGGTTATACTATGTAAAAAAGGCTATTATTGCAGGGCTATTTCTGGGCCGAGGAGGGCTACATTTCCTGTTAGGGAAAGAAAAGTCTTCTGTATGCAGGGAAAAAGGGATATCTTATAGCAATGCAGTTTCACTTAGCTCACTGTAAACAATCAGTCTCTACTGCCTTCTTGGGGGGTGAGGGAAAGAACTTGGAAGAAACAATCTCTGCATGCCACATGCCAATTTCAACACTACTCAAATGACTGGGCACAGCTGGAGCATGGAAAGCCTCACAGAAGTTTGCTAATTTCTAGGTAACAACCTGGAGAGAAGATGGCAGGACAGCGGCCGGCTATCGCTTCCTGACGTTTTCTGACAAAGTCTGTAATCTTCCAGATGAAAACGCCATCATAGGTCGAAGCTTCCATATCACGGATCTTTTGCTCCATGTCAGCCATGGCCAGATCTTTCAGTCCAATGCTCCTTTCCAGCTGCCGGACCTGATCAGTGGAATACACAGAGCACCTTGTTTAGAAATATAAGCTGCTAAGGGACCCAGGAAAGTCAAGGGATCCTGTGAACATCATTCAGGCCGGATCTTTGGTGGGGAATGTTCTCCAGATATGATGGTGGCCAGGAGAGGGAAGAAATCCACCACTGTTGGCCAACTCACTTCAAATAATTTGAGATCGCCCTGCTGCTCTTGAGCAAACAGTTAACCAACAGCTCTTCACTGCCAGAGCAGGGCACTTTCCAGCTGTGGATGGCAGAATCCAGTCAATGAAGGATGAAGTATTGGTCTCCACTCCATTAAGAACATTAAGGGTGGGGGGTGGAAAACCAACGTTTGTGACAAAAACTGAACCAAGGGACAGAGAAACTGACAAATCGAGTCAAGCAGGGTTCTAAACAGCTATTTGCTGTTGTGAAGTATTGTGGCGTCTGCTTTGCGAGATCATACCTCTGGAAAAGAAAGGTATGCTACCTATCATAGAGCTCCCATGGACACTGTGTCTAGAGTACAATGAGAATGCAAACCTAGAGCCTGACAAAGATTGCAGAGCATACTGTAGGTAGGGGATCAGTTTTGTACTGTAGGAGGATGACCTACATAACAGGTCTTTTCCTGCTCTAACATGTATATGATTTTGAGATGGCATCTAGATACTAGAGTGATGGGCACCCTGGAAATGTCTAAGACTTAGTCTACACTCAAAAAGTTATACTTGTGTAACTATGTCAGTTGGAGATGTGAGTTTTTACCAATACAGTTATACCAGTATAACCTCTATTGTGGACACATGTATACCAGTATAAAGATGCCTTATTAGCTTATTTCGGTTCCCATCCACACTAGTGTGGGGAGGTTTGCTGCTTTAACTAGGCTGGAACAATTAAAGCAGCAAATCTTTCTAGAGTAGACAAGCTGAGAATGCAGATAAGACTGTAGAAATTCAGGTTCTCCCACTATAAGGGTGGGGAGCTGACCAGGCTCAGGGATCATTACAAATGCAGGAGGGATCTTTCAGCATCCAGAAAGCGGAAATGCTGCCTCCTCTGTACATCTCACAGGAGTACATGTCCAGAGAGCTTTTCCTCAGAACATCTCAAATATACTCATAGCTTGGCTCCTGATAGCCATGAGGTCATATCACAGACCCCTGCATGCATTACACCTGCACTAAAGCTAAGCATTTTAATTACTGGGACAAATGATTTGAAAGATGTTCACAGAACACAAAGAATCAGAAGCCCAAAGCCAGAGGTTACAGACCTTGTTACTGAGCATTTCAATTTTCTCCTGATCCAGCCGATGCTGCCGGCTATACGCCTCCGCTGTCAGAGACACTCTTTCCACTTCCCGATTCAGCACACACACAATATTCTCAAATGTGATAGTCTTCCTCTCCAGGGCCTCGCACCTTCCCCGCAGCTCCAAGGACTCAGAGAGCTCTGATTCAGAGCACAGCGAATTGGTTGTTAAGAGCATGGAGTTGTCCTGCACTGACGCAAGGGTTGGGTGGTGCTTTAAGTCTCCAGACTCAGCCTTGAGGCTGAGCACAAAGCCCAGCAACATATACAGATGCTCCCCCACACATTTGCTTTCGTGCTCCAGCAGTTTTTCATTTTCCACCTGCAGAAAAAGAAATACACATTCCCATTTGCAGCAAGTTAGCTTCCCACTATGGCACGAGATCCACAGGACACATTCATCCCCTCCGGGTTACAACTGTAACTGATAAAAGCAAAGGGTAATGTAAAGAAAGACACAGTTACAAACTGTCCAACAGCAAGCAGGTTTTTTTAAAGGAAAATTCTAATCTTACACAATGACAGATGTTGAACATTCACCCCACTGTAGATATGATAAAGCTTTGCCTCCCTTCTATAGCACCTTCAGTCCAAGGATCCCTCAGAAGCACTTTACAAACATTAGTGAATGAACCCTCTCGAAACCTCCAGGAGGGGATGTGTTACTATTATTATCCCCAAGCCACAAAGAGAGGAAGTGTCTTGCCAAAGTGAGTCATGGGTAGAGCTGGGAACAGAACCCAAGTCTGCTGATACCCTGTCCTGTGCTTTACCCATAAGCTCAGTCATCACACAGAATCAGGAGTCATTTATTTATAAAATCACGTCTGTAATAACACCATGCTCCCAGCTACTCAGGAATTACACGAAAGCCATCTGAGACCTATCCTTTGGCATGTTCTCAATGCAGATGTTTACTACTCTCCCAATTCTCACTGTCTGAAGACTGCCTGCCCCATCCCCCCCCCCACACACACACACATGGCTTACTCCTCAGGCATTACCAACCTCCTTTGGCACTTGCTTGCAGCAGTGTGCTATGGCATGCTACTGCATAGCTGAAAGTACCACTCAGCTAAATTACTGCAGGCAGAAGCCAAAAGCATTCCTCTGGGTTCTGGCTCCAACACCAAAAGGATCTAATAAACCAATCCTGGTCCTGATCCAGGAAGTCTTCTTTACTGCACTCAGGCTGATTTGCACTTTCAGCATCTAAAGGCTGCTGGGCTGCCCGGACGGGACTAAATCGGGCGGACCGGATGATCTTCATCCTAGAATATTG